GCCACCCCGCCGCCGCCACCTCCCCGCCACCACCCACCTCCGGAAAGCAGAGTCACTGACAAAGCACCTCGCCCCGCAGGGCTCCCCGCCCCTGTGCACCCACCCGGAATCCGAGCGCTCATTGACAGCGTTTGCTGGAAGCTTCGCGGTGGGTTTGGGGCGTTTCACTCCATTTCAGCCTGCAAAATCCGAGCTCCAGGAGACGCTCCTGCTCCCCCTCCCCCGGGCTGGGCCCGGTGACCGCTTGGAAATCCAGAGCCGCCCCCTCCTGATTCAGGAATGTTCAGACGTGTGCACCTGCCAAATAGGCCTGTCAAGGAGCAAAATATCTCGTCTGCACACATGGGACACGGACCTCCCTGTGCCACGGGCTGCAGCGCGGCCCGGGACTCCCTTGGGGACACACTGAGGCAGTGACAGGCCTCGTGGATTGGGAGCCCGCGAGCTCAGAGGGCGCGGAGAGCAGGGAGCCAGAGGGGCTAAGATAGAGCTAAAGTGCACAGAGCCCTGAGTTCAGGGCACACAGCTTAGAGGCAGCGTCTCAGTACTTGGGGTAACTCTACTGGGTGAATACTGTGATCAGCATTTTATAGACGAAGAAACAGGCCAAGCCAACCCAGTGGGCAGTGGAAACGCTGAACTTCAGAGCAAGGCCACCTAACGCTGAGTCGACCTCAACCTTAATACCGCCTCCCTCCCTGATCTGCTGCCTCTTATCTAGGATCTACTAAGAGAAGAGGAAAAGCCTCAGGATGGACATTCTAAAGGTCAGCCAGGGCTGGGCTACAGAGATCTTCCGCAGAAGACTTACCACCCTTGACACATGGCCTCAGTGGGTTTTATCCAAATAGGGGTTGCTTCAGAGTGTATTCATGCAAAAGGTAAGAGATGAGAGGAAACCGAATGTGGTATGAAGAGTGTGAGTCATGAGACATAAAAGTCAAACAAGACGTCTTGGGAGTTAAATAAAGAATTTAGAATCAAAAACCTAAAATTAAACTCAATTATACCCATCTTAAACGTTCTTGCCAAAGATGGTTGTTACCTGGTCAACAAAACAAGGCATACTGCATCGCCACAGACCTAACAGTCAAAAATGATGTCAGGACACAATGGAGGATAAAAAAAATTTAGCATTATGTGTTGTCATAGCTTGACTTGGGGTGACATACAACTTCAGTTTCTCAGTTCCTTCATTTGTAAAATGGGAATTATTACTTGTACATTACATGAACAATATGATGTTCAAGTTTAAAAGTGCTACCAATTTGTGTGATCTTTTGAGAAATCGTTTTGTGGATTTCAGTTTCACAATGAGGTAAAATATACCACATCATTTTTTCCCCAAATAAAACTCTTTTCTACCTAAGAAGTTACCATAGTCCAAAGCCTTGAAAAAAATCTGTAAACTGAAAAAACCACTTCTGCTCCAAGTGTCACTAAATGTCTGAAACTTCCCCTTTCATAATTAATTCTTCTCCAAAGAAAGGAACCAAAGAAAGAAAAAGAAAAGAAAAGAAAAGAAAGCCAGCCAGCCAGCCAGCCAGCCTACCTAGGATGCCTGCTTCAGGAGTTTTTAATTTGTGCTGAAGCAATATTAACACAGCTGTTTTCCCCAACCATTCGTTGGGATTTAAGTGGCAGTCATACCCCTGCATAATATATATATATTTTTTTCCATTTAAGTACATGAGAGGGAAATACTACACATGTACATACAAATCTTTTTAAACCAGCTTTTAGGTATGACCATAATAAGAGGTTTATCTGTCTATTCTGATATTACTGAGATAAAAGGAATAGAAACAAAGATGAACACAATTTGCCTGATTTGTTTAAAATTACTGAAAAAAAAGAATTTTGTATACAGTTATCTTGGTGAGATGTTTATTGAAACCAGTAGTAAAATTTCAGCAGTACTCACTTCTTGTAGAACTTCTAACGTGACTGGTAGAGAAATCTAAAAGAGCAAGCCTTCAGTTTGGTATTAAAGTCTCCCAAGATCATATTTCAGGAATATTTTCTGCTTGACAATTGATATTAACATTTTTCAGGACTGCAGTAGTCAAAGGCTTTGGTCTGTATTGTTCTCAAAGAACATCGTCTATAAGCTAGTAATCTTTTAAAATGTTTTGAGCATATTTTAACTTGTTTTGTGTGTATATATTCTGCAGCTTTGGGTAAGTGCTCTAAAAATACGTCCTTGATCAAATTTTATGGTTGTGTGGTTGACATCTTCCATTACTGGATTTGTATCTGCTTGACACAATTTGATTAATGGGAGAGATGAATTAAAATCTCCCAATAGGATGGTAGATTGGTCTTACCTCAGTTTGTAGTTCTTTCATTTTTTGCTTTCTAGGGTTTGGGGCTGTGTTAATATATGCAAACCGGTTCATAATTATTACATCTGTCTGGTAGACGTATCATTGTTGTGACTGTCTTAAACTCCAGCAGTGCTTTTGCCTTAGTATCTAAACAGCTTTCTTTTGATTAGCATTTGCCTAGTATTAGTGTACCTCCCTTCATCCTCTTACATCAGACCTTTGCAAGTCATTAGATTTATCTAACAAATGTTAATTGTGACTTTAATCTCATCTGATAATCACTGACTCTTAGATCCCACATTTAGACCAGTGCAGGTATTATAATTGTTGACAAATTTGAATTTATTTCTACTCTCCAATGTTGTACCTCCCATTTGTTTTCTCCAGATCTGTGTTGTTTTTTTTTCCTCTCACCTCTGCCTTCTTTAGGATTGATTTTTTTTTTTAATGCATCCTCGTCTCCTTGATTCTAGTTTGGAAGTTATGTACTCTGTTCCTATTCAGTTAGTGATTCCCCTAGAAATTTTAACAGGCAAACTTACCTGCTTAAATCCAGAGGTTAGCAGTACATCAGCCCTTCTGCCAAACAATACAAGCACCTGTCAGAACCGTCCCAGACTACAATACATTATTGATGTTGTTGTAGGCCATCGATGTTTAGATTCACCCAGAAGTTTACAGCTTATTTTGTTCTTTGCTCTTGTTTGAGTCCCAGATCGCCCATCTGTGATCGCCCTCCTTCTGCCTAAAACACATGCCGTGGCTGCTGACTGGTTCTCTCACTTTCTGTTTGGATGAAGAATGTATGCATTTCATTCCCACTCTTGCAAAACGAAAAGAATTCCAAATTGTATATTTCCAATGTCATTACACTGTCCTCTAGCATCTCTAGTTACAATGTTGAAAGTAGTCTGAAGTGTGATCTGCCTTCTCTCTCTGCTTTTAAGATTTTTCACTTGTGTTTAGTCTTCTGGATTCACAGTGAAGCACTGACGTGAAGATTTTGTGTGTGTGCTTAACTGCCTGAGTTTGTTTTGTAATTGAAATATAATTGGTTTACAACGTCAGTGTGTTAGTTTCTGGTGTACTGCATGGTGACTCAGTTATACACACATACATATATATATTCCTTTTCATATTCTTGTTATTGGCTATTACAAGGTATTGAACATACAGTCGGTATACACTGGTATACAGTCAGACCTTGCTGTTCATTCACTTTATACATAGTAGTTAGTATCTGCAAATCCCAGCCTCCCGACTTACCCTCCACTCCCCCTCCCTGGCCCCGTAACCACAAGTCTGTTCTCTGTGTCTGTGAGTCTGTTTCTGTTTTGTAAATAAGTTCCCTTGTCTCATTTTCTTAGATTCCACATATGAGCGACATCATATGGTATTTTTCTTTCTCTTTTTGGCTTCCTTCACTTAGCATGACAATCGAGATGAAATTTCTGTTTTATTCCATCCTCCTTGGTTCCTTTGGTTTTCTTGACTCTACGGGTGATTTTCGTCGGTTCTGGGAGACGCTGCACCCACGCCTCCTCCTCCTTCCTTCGGGATCTCTGATTACACACGGGTTCTCTGCCTTCCTTACTACTCTCTTCACATGTCTTTCACAGTTTCTTTTTCTTTCTTTTTCTAGGTTGAATTCTGGATAATTTCATAAATATCTCCTTTTCCTTAATTCTTTCTCTGGCTTTGTCTCACCTTCTGTTAAAGTCAGCCATTTAGTTTTCAGCTTGTATTACTTTTCTCTCTGACGGGTGGCCTACTGGACCTCCCACGTTAGGAAGGGCCTTATGCCCACTCTGGCCACGCTAACAGGTCCACAAGCTCATGCAGTTTAACATACCCCCTCTGGATGAAAGGCGGCTCTGGTGGCTACCTTCCTTGTTCCTCACCTCCACCCCCGAGTATTGCTCACTTCCTTGACTGCTCTCAAATGCCTTTAATAATTTTCAAAATCTTTCACTCTAAATCTTTCATTAATTTCAGTCGAAGTTTTGACTAGACATCGTGATTGATTAGTTTTGATTATACGATCATGTAAAAATGAACTAATAAACAGCTTTTTATCCACCTAGTAATCTACCTTCCTCAGCCCATACACAGAGAGTCCCTGACTTACCCATCCTTATGTGTTAGGGGTGTGGGGAAATGTGAGTTCAGGGCCTTAGTGAGTCAGCTGTTTTGCTTACCAATGTATAACACTAACTGCAAAGGTAACCCCTGGGCCCCCGGCCCCCACTCACACCCCGTATCCATGAGGAAACATGCCTTCGACGGAAATGAAGAGACTCTGATACCCAGGAGTGCCTTCCCTGACAGCTCCTCCCCCTTTGGAGTGGGAAGCAGTATTGTCACCTCTAGGATGGTACTTTCAAAAATAACCCCCGTAATAATGTTTCAAATTTAATACAACTTAACTAGGCTCATGTAGGCTATGAGCTTCACCAATTTATATCAAGGTTTTGAGTTCCAAACAGTTATTAGAAACAAGCTTTTAGACACAGCCCTCTGGTGAGCTACAGTCAGCGTGCGTCCAAGTCAGGCAATCCCAGAGGCGCGGCCTGCGCTGCTGCCTGTTGCTGCCTCCCTGGAGAAATTCAGCAAGAGTGGCACCACCTTCGTTTGTTGTGGAAGAAAAATCCTTTGTATAAACTATTTAACTAGCCAAATTTCTTGACATCTTTAGAAAACCATCTTGAAAATATTTCAGGAGGACCTGCTTTTTAAGGCCAATGGAGACAGTGTTGGTAAAAAGAACATTCTCTAAGTATGTTATTCTTTTTATCCCCAGCAGCACTGTCATGAATTTGACTCTAAAGGTAAAATTCTCCTTCAAAGTGACATATGAAGTACTTTTAAAATAGAGAGAGAGAGATGGGACGATTTGGGAGCAATATCTTTCCCCACTCCCTTGAGTGGCTCTCACACCACATAAGGCTATGCACAGTTAGCATTCTATATTAATTTGAAAGCCAACTTCAAGAAAAAAAGTTGTCTTAAGGGAAAAAAGAAAAAGAAGGAAAAAAGTTGTCTTCCAATTTGGAGACAAAGGGCTCGGGTCATTCCCAATATCTTTAATACCAAATCTAAACATATCCCAATATTTATAAGCTGCAAATGGGAAATGACAGTATCTGCTTCTTCTGCTGTTAAATCTTTGGTGAAAAAGATAGTAAAATTCTCAACAATAACACAGCAAAGATATTCTCTCCCCTTCCCGCCTTCCTGTTTCAGGTGATTTGCCCCAAATTATAAAATCAGATTCTCTTACCTCCAACCGACCTCTTTTGGTCCACTTGTACCTTCGTGCCTCAATCTGCCAGACATTGGAAAACTCAAAACAGTCCTTGGAGTTAAGGAAAAAAAGAATATTGGAAGCAAAGTATCAGCAACACACTGTGATCAGAGGAGACGGAGTCTCGTCGTGACTCAGGAGCCGCACTCGGGTCGCCAGAAACCCAGAAGTGTTTGTGTAACCCTGTGGCACTGCGTGGGAAAGGCTCTCCTGACCCCACCCACCAGATACTCCACACAAAGCAAGCCATCTGCATTGTCTGGCGGCTCTGCTCACACCCATTTAATCCTCCCCGAGCCTGAGTAGTCACAGCCAGTGAGTGATGGCATTAGAATTTACTGGAGGGACACACAAGTGCATCTAAGGTGGTGTTAATAGTTCAACAGTATACGTGTGACTGGGGCATTATGCTGCACGCCGCAGACAGACATGTTGTACCTGACTATTCCTCAATACATAACTAACTAAATAAAATACCTTGAAATTTAAAAAAAAGTTCAACAAAATCAGTATCCCCTCTAAGAAGCCCTAATCCTGATCTAAATAATCCAGACACATTCCTGTACAGCAAGTTCTCCTTTCCTAAAATGCAATGAGACAACTAGGCAAACAGTCCGTGCATTTATATCTGATCCATTCTAGGGAGAAAAAGAAAAATGCTACTTGCCAGTGGAAAGAACTCAGTCAAGTATCAGGTCAGAAGGGCTAGTTCCGCGGCAGAAGTTCCCTGAACTGATCAACAGAGGTTCAGAACTCCGAAATGTTTGACCCCTTTCCTTACTAGTGTAAATAAGGACAAGACACAGATAAGCTAGGACGGAGAGGTCTCTCCCAGGCTTCAAAATACAGATGTCTTTCTTATCTTTGTGTCGTTTCCGATGCTGCAGATTCAGGACACCGGCAGGTTTCTGGTAAGACAACCTCGGCTTGCAGTCCTCGCTGGGAAGGAAGGGACAGCGAACGGCTTGTGAAGCTGATCGAGGCCTTCTTAGGTTGGTGGGAATTTTGCTTCCTTTGCAAAGAGGACTCAGTGCACGTTTCCAGCAGCCTTTTCCTATCCTCCTGAGACAGGATGGCTGAGCTTGGCAGGAATGGAGGAGGGATCAGGACCCATGGCCCAGCCCCATCGCCTGCTCTCCCTGTTCCAGCGTGGGCCGGCGGTGCTGCACAGCCACCTCCTGGACGTCCCTTCACCTCCCCTGGGTTGAACTGTGGATCAGAAACATAGGACACTAGTAGGTGCCCTGTGCAAGGTAACTATGCTGTGTTCTCACCACAGTACCTTAATAAACTACCAAATAGATGCGAGTAATTCCTGTTCCACGATGACACAAGGCCATGATCCCCACACGACCCATTTATTTCCCTCTCTGATTTTTAACACATCTTCCTCTTCCCCTTTAAACAAGCAGGTATGAATTCTTAAGTCATGCCTGCTTGAATTCAGGAGGAGAGGCCTAAGATTAGAATTAGAAGGAAGGTTTTAAATCAAGTGGCCTATAACTGAGTTCTAAACAACTCACTCCAGCAAGCCAGCTGGCAAAACGACTTCCAATTCATGAAAGCGGGAGAAAAAAAGCTTTCCCATTTGAGTCACTCTACCATTTCACGCACAAAGACTTTGTGTACGTACCAGAAAGACAAGCCTTTCCACATTTGCATGTATCCTTTTTATAGTTGTTGTGATTTTGCCAGGTGCTTTATGACCATTTTTTATTAGCTGGGTCTCTCCATAGTCCTGTGAGGTATAGATTAGTAGGTAAAACAGGTCCTGTACAGGATGAGGCAGGAAGCGAACTCTCCAGGGACATCTTACTCCAGGAAAGCCTGTGTGAAAGAATGCACTTTCCCCTGCTTGCCGGAGGCACCAGGAAATAGAAGTCAGCCTGGAAAATACTGCTGAGCCATTTTTAAAAGCAATTTTCTTTATAAAGCACATATATTTCTTCTCTCTCTCTCATTAGCTTAACTTCAGCCGGTCTATATTTCAATTCAAACATAGGATCATAGAGCAAATCCCTCCCTGATATCTTTCCATACCTAAATCATAAGCAGGATTAAATGTTTTTATGGTCATACCTTTCTTTAAAAGCCCTTCGTACAAGTTGTAGGATAATCAAAAGCGTTTCTATAACAAACTGAAAGAGTTTGTTACACAGAACTAAAATACGCCGGAAGCCTTGTTACTACTCCATTTTATAGATAATGAAAGCTAAAGCTGAAACTTTCTTAGTGTAATTTGTTCATAGACAAACAAGGTCCTTAGGGAAAGTCTTGGTCTAGAAACTGGGTTTCCTAGTTCTCAAAGATAAAAAAGCAAAACGAAAGTTTAATTCTCTGTAACCATCAAAATCCAAAATAGACCTTAGGATTCCTATTATTTTAATATTGTGTATTTGCTGTATGAGTCTCCATTCAACACAAGGCTTTTGACTTACTACATTAAAATTACGTATTAGAAAAAAATTCTGCAGTGAGAATTTTCTATGTGAGGTGGGGACCTATGGAAAAAAACACAGCCAGTGGAGGTAAGCTGTCTTATGTTGCGAAGCTGGGTATCACAGGAGATGGGGACTCAGAAGAGCTGCCTGGGAGACTGGAACTGGTGATCATCTGATGGTGGGCTGGGCCAGAGGCCCCCTGAACTAGTATCTCCTCTCGAGCGTCCACTGGGCTTCCTGCTCCTCGTCCGGCTCCGGGCTCCGCTCTCTCCTGAGGTGCGGCCACCACTGTGCTGTCCAGTCTTGCCCGCTTCCTTTAAGTGAGCAAAGTCCGTCAAGATGCTGTCCTTTTGTTTTAAGCTGTTTTGTACCTGCCCCACGTGCATTGCCCCTCCCGGAGGGCTCTGTGCGTCCTGGCTCCGAGCTGACTTAGGTGGAGTATGTGATGTGTGTTCTCTCGCTGGTTACAAGGCACTGCTCTTTGCTGATGTTCGGATTCTTTGCCTAAGCTTGTATCATTTTTATCACTAGGGACCATGTGATTTCTGCCCTCATAGAGCTTACGGTCTAGTTAATAGACATGTAAGTGCATCAATAATAAAGTTTCTGATAGTAATGCGCACTAAGAAGGAAATAAACAGAATGTTGAGGTGGTGATGGGTGGAGGGCCAGGTCAGCTGGGATGGACAAGGCCAGCCTCGCTCAGGGAGGGACGTTTGAGCTGCAGACCCGGGAGGGAGGCTTCCTGGCCAAGAGAACAGGTGATCAGAGTCCCTGAAGCTGGACCAGTGTGGCACATTTCAGGAAAACCAGGGTGGCTGGTGAGAGCAGTGAGAGAGAAAGTCAGAGGGGTCGGCAGGGGCCAGATGACAAAGGGGTTTTGCAAGTCATGGTAAAGCCTGTGAATTGTGCTCTCCTCTCAGTGAAGCTACTGAAGGAATACAGGCACAGGAGGCAGCTCTCCACCTGGCCACTGCTACAACCCACGGCAGAAGCCAGGCTCTGCTTTCCCGCTGCATTGAGAACGGTAAGTCGTCAGATTTCAAAGGCTTGTAGCTCTGAGCTTTGAGGCCATTCGGTGAGGGACAGAAGGAATGTGATGGTCTAGGGTGAGGAAGGAACCCCACATTCTGCTTCAAACATTGAAAGGTTGAAGCCTGTCGAACCCCAGGATGCACAGGGGGTCTAGGCGGATATTGCTCCGGAGAACCAGCCCACACTGCTAGCCCATGACCTTGGGCTGTCACCGTCACACCATCACAATACCCAGGCATCGGAGGCAGACAACTCAAGCGGAGGGGTGTCCTTTCGGCCCCTGTATAGAGATGCCCCGCAAGCTCTGAGCCCAGGGATTGGTTAAAATTTCAGACTCAGGTTAGTGGCTTCTTCATCTTCTCTGGACTTTCTTTCATGATTCCTTGCCCCAGAAGACCCTGTGCAAAAGTGAAAAACACAGTCCAATTATTTTGATGATAAGTGACAGAAAGCTTAAAACACAGAGCAAGAAAAGCTGGCATAAATTCAGCAGGAGAGGAAGGGAGCCGCGGCCTGGCGCTCACCAGGAAGCTGTGTCGCCTCCCGGCTGCCCCACATTCTGTGGCACTGTGTCGGCCCCGCAGGCGGAGCCTGGCAGCCTCCTGGCCCAGGCCAGGCTCTCGGGGATCACAGGACCTATGGAATCAGCACAGGATCTGTGGAAGTGACTCGTAGGATGACCCGCCACATGCCCTGCAATCAGTCCTTCAGTGCTAGGAACCGAAGGGTAGGCGTCCCCACACTGTACCCAATGCCCCTGTTCCAGAGGGCTCCTGTCGGAAGCCCAGAGTGGGTGGGAGCCCAGCCCGCGGACTCGGTGTGCCCGGGGCTGTCGGGTGAGACTCGGGCGTGTGCTGACTAACCTGTTAGGACAGAAGCTGCTTGGGCTGAGATTCTCCGTGCAGTTTGTCTGCCAAGCATAGAATCAGGTTCCCGCGGTGTGCTTATAAACACAGTATTAAATGCTACCAGATGCTACCAGACGCAACCAGGAGGCTTCGCGGCACCCATGAAAGGAGGCAGCAGTATTTCAGTGGCAATCTCACTGTATCTCTTGTCCCTGCTTCCAGTGAAGGAATTCAGAACATAAAAATACAGTAACGTTGACATGGCAGAAGGTCTCTGACAACGTCGGCCCCCGACCCCCACGCATTACCGTACCACGTAGCACAGCAGCCCCTGCCGCCCTGCTCTGCAAAGGCCAGCCCATGAATTCGGTTTCTGCCCCCAGACTTACTCACTCTGGAATCTAGGTAGGCACAAACCTGGCTTTTTTAGGCCCTGATTACTAGTCTCCCTAATTACTCAGGACAGTCATGATGCATCAGCCAGAAAGTTTGAGAAGAAAGAATGCGACAGAGAAGTGGCGTTTGCAGTTCATCGATGTGCGCGTTGCTGTTTTCAGAGACAGCTGTCAGGCACCCCCACAATGAGGTTTCGACTTCGACATACATGTAGAGAAACCCACGGGCCACCTCTCATGATGCAAGCTTTTTAGCTTTTTACTCAATGGCTTATACGGTTTTTAAAAAGTTTTTCTCATTCCTTTGTCCGCTTTTCAGAAAGAAATGTAGTGAGGGTCCGTCGCAGCTTAATATTTAACTAAATACTTTAATTTCCCAGTGTAATTACCCAGTAACGCTCCCTTTTACACCAGAAAATATCATGGCTTTGTACGGTGAGTTCTGTGGTCTTCTTGTGTATAGTTGCCTATTACTTGAACTGAAAAACAAAAAAAAAATGTGCTGAGAGACTTAC